CCCCCCCTCTCCTCTTTGGACATTTCTATTCTCCTCTCGCCGAAGGTAATGTTGCAGGTTAGTTACCGGCGCTTGTTCCCCGTGAGATTTAATCTTTTTTGGTAGAGCCACCGTTACGTCGAAAAGCTTTCTCCGGTTCTTCAACTTGATTTCTCACACGCTAACGCGATCTCGTTGCGTTTTTTGGGTTTCTCTATCCTTTTCGTAGCTTCTACAGTCCCGTTTCAAATGCGGAATTCCTCCGAATAGTAATTTCTACAATGAAAAAAAATAAATGGTTAAGTTTGTAGATTTATTTATTTGCTGACTGCTATGTTTGATCTTATTTTCTATAATTTTATTTCTCACAGTTTGAAATTGTTCTGAAACTATAAATGCTTGTACTCGTCAAAGCTGATGCGATCGAATTCGTAATTATAGTATATAATACGTAAATAATCAGAATGTCAAGGGACTTGAAAACGAATATCATTTGCAATTCTGACTGCACGTTTTGTTATAAAAAGTCTCGGAAATGTTGTAGAAAAAATATGCAATTTTATTAAAAAAAAAAAAATGTATCAAATTGAGATAAAAGACTGATGAGGATTAACGAAGTTTCCGTATTAAATCTTCTGTAGTGGATCTTCGAATACACGCGACAAATCACAATTGTACAATTTGAACATTTTTTTCAATCAATTTTACCAGTCTTTCAATTTCTAACGCTGGCGAGTATTTGCTTTTGACTGAAAGGTACGAGGTTGTGGAATAGTGAAGTCATCACGAACCGTCGAAGTGATTTATTGTTCCATATTTATACACATAATAAGCGATATACGATTATATCGTATGTAGGTACTAGATTGTATCATATATATATATGTGTATATATATATATATATATTCATTCATTTATTTATATCGAGCATTCTGTACAATAAATAAAGACTCTAGAGCATTTAAAACATAACATGGCGTACTCTCTTGCGATTGCCATCGAAAAGTGTACAATAATTTAACGAGTCTCCCCGTGCGTATATGTATGTGTATTCTCTATACGTGCTTTCAGAAACTGCTCGTGGCTGGCAGGCGTCGCGGCGACGACGACGACGACGACGACGACGCCCAGCTTTGTTCCACCGTTGGATATATATACAGCGCACAGAGGTTTTACTTTGAACATCCGAAACTAATCGTAACAATATCTCCTCTCCCCGTTCGATTCGATGGATGATCACGTTCTCGTGGGAAGTTCCGATATAATTCTCTTCTCTCCTCTCCTCTCCTCTTTTCTTTTCTTGTCCTTTCCTTTCCTTAACGCGTTAAACAACTCGCTCAAACGTGTTCGTTTACATTTTCACGACCATGCACGTGTGTATATGTATATCCAGAGGAAATGCGTGCGACGTACAGGAGAAACATCGTCACGTTTCATCGGTGTGAACGCGTGGATCGATAGTCTTGCAATATGCTCGCGTCTGTTCGAAAATCGTTACTCATCGTTACGGTTACGGTAGCTTGGATTAAACTGTAGCTGGAAATTTCGTCCGACAGAGAAAAAGCCGCGACGTGGACCCGCGGCTAGAGCCGAACACAGAGAATGTCGTGTATTGTTCCGCACTGAAGTTGGGAAGGCGCGTAGAAAAAGGTAAAAGATAGTGAAGCACAAAAATTCCTTACGCTCGTATAAAAAGGTCATGCGAAGACGCAAAACCGGCAGAATTGAAAAGGTTCTTTATAAAAAAGATCGCATCGAACGAATCACCTCTTTAAGTATAAAAAGACGTCCGTGTGTGTCTCCTGCGTGTGTGTGTGTGTGTGTGTGTGTGTGTGTGTGTTCAACGAGTACGAGTCTCGAATGAAAAGCGAGTGCGATCGAGTCAGGAAAGTGGATGGTTGCTCGATCCGATCGAACCGATTTGGTCGATCGTTCGAACAACCCTCGACCGTTCGCGACGCGAATACAATACTTCTAACGATAGGGTTCAACTATTTATACAATCGTACAACGTACACATTGCCGCTCCGTGTCGTTCACGGAACGAGATAATCGTTCCCGATAATCGAATCGAAGCGTTAACTGTGGCTTGTTTTCCGAATCGGAGATCCCTTTATCCTTGGAACGGAGCTCAAGACAAGAAGAAAGACGAATCGCGACACGATCGAGTCGAATTATCGCGCTTAATTCGGACGTTTGATTCTCCGGCTCGATTTCACGGCGACGCTGTATCCGACCGCTCAGATCTTGCCTGTCTGACAAGAGAAGCGGAGAATCGTTCGTTCCGATCGTGCCACAATTTGAACCTGCAAATTCGTTTTAAACTTTCACTTTGCCGAATTGAAAGGAACGACGCACAGAAGTTATCCGAGCTGTTCGTTTCTTTTATCTTCTTTTCTCTTTCTTCTTCTTCTTCTTCTTCTTCTTCTTCTTCTTCTTCTTCTTCTCGTGCATCGTTCGCTTCTCATTCGTTTATTCGTATAGACGAATCTCGCAATCGACTACTCGATCGATCTTCGTCGAAGCGACGCGATATACTTACTATTGTCTTCTTAAATCCACGAACCGAGATACATACAACATGCATTTCTATCTAACGTGACTAATGTTCACGGGAACGGCCGTCCCGTTTCTTGGAACGAGGATCATCTTTCGCTGAAATAACGAGCCTTCTGAACGTTTTAACTCTTTCAGCCCCGCGTTATTACCTGGAGACAGTTTTGCCTCTTCGTTGCGACACACTTTATGATATGTCTGCCCTGACACCTGAGAACATTCTACAAATGCAATTGCGATTAACCCTCGAGTATCGAGTTTCTAATTTATCTCAAATCGCTGGGATTCAGAGTGTTCTCATCATCTCAGACAATTAGATTAATAATTAGGTTAATAACAAAATTCAATAATATCGAAGATTGATAATAATTCCACAACGTCGAAGGTTGTAAGACCAAGCAATTCGTAAATCATTACGGTTTCAGTTGAAAGTTAAAATCAATGTAATAATCTAAAACGTAACGTCAGGTATATCGCGCGAAGCTGTAGGAGAACTTTGTTTCTCTTCGATTTTCCGCCTTGTGGCGCTGTGTGCAGTCAAGGACTGAAAGAGTCAACAACAAGCGTCTGTTGCGGAGAATCTGAACGCTCCGGTGCTTCCTCGATTTATGCGATCGTCGCACCTCGTCGTAAACGCGTGGTTGGACAAACTTCGAGCCCTTGTTGTTTCAGTCAGAGAAGACCCCGGGGATCGGCAGCTCTTTCGAGAAACAAAGGCGCCGCGATAATATGCGCGGAAGCTGGACGAGGAAACGCGAGGAAACTCGGTACGATACGGCGGAATCGTTCCCTCGTGCCTCGGGGAAAAAGAACGAATAGTTCCGTACGAACCAGCGATCTCTGGTGACCGTGCATCGGTTTCGCGTGATCGAATAGCCGAGATACAACGATAAATTCGCGTTTTTCGTTCGTCCATCACCGGACAGCCGCGACGAGACGAGACGAGACGAGACGAGAGATTCTCGTTACGATTGCGCCGCAAACGGGGTTTCGTGCAACAGACAGAAGACGCGAGATCGTTAGCTGCGTTGGCAATTAAGGATAGCTTTTCTTTTCTTTCCTTCTTTTTTCTTTTTTCTTTTTCTTTTTGCTGCGATCAGAGGAAGAGCCGAGCTCTCTGCTATCGGCCACGTCGTTAAATCGGCCGTCCTTTTCACGATTCGGCCGTAGAAATTGCCCCTTCCTTCGTTTCCTCTTCGCCTTTCGGGGACGAGGAACAGGGATTTATTTACTTTGTTTCGCGGGGAATTTATCTCGGGACGGCAGTGGGACCTGGTTCGGTGTCGACTTCGATCCTGTCGGGATCCTGGCGGGATCTCGATCGAGAACTCGCGAGAACTCGGACTCAAGGACGATTGTTGAAGATCGACTCGAGCCAAGCAGCTAACGATTTCCCTCCCCCTTCCTCCGAAAATTTGATCCTTTCTTCCGACTCGGCGATCACCACCACTACCAAGAGCCAAGAGAGAGGAAGCTGGACAACATTCCTATTAGAACCAGCCAGCCAACCGGATCGAACGATCCTCTTCTCCAGGCGGCGTTGTTCATGCAGGTCTCCCGAATGTTGATGATCTTCAGGCCACGGCGAATTAGCAGATTGTGAACGCCTCGTTTGTCGTTTTTCTGCAGGATGTGCTCTCGCGAGAGCAGCAACGAGTACAGCTGATTGTCCGGGCTCCGGGAGCAGAAAGTCAGCACCATGTCCGAGGCCACGGCCTTCATTACGTGCACGTTGCCGGCGAACTGGTTGTACTGTCTCTCTACCAGCGTACCTGTCGAAATCATTTTCAATCGATTAAAAATCTATACTACCAGGCTGCCCCTTTGTTTGAAAAGTTTCACGCGTTCGTGTACTTTTCAATATACGAATAACTCGCGTATTTCTGTCGAACGGTTGTCGGCGCTTCTATTTCATGTAACACCTGTAACATCGAACACACCTGGATCTGTGAATTCGTGGGAAATTTTCAATTCACGAACGGATTACCTTTCACACCATACGGTTTCACGGGTCTATCAAATTCTCAGCTCGTTTAATTGTAGTACTGCTTCACCGGTACACTGCTCGTGCATTCAAACTATACCTCTTAAATGGTTAAACATGAAGTTTCGTGTCTTATCTTGGCAGCTGCCAGGAACGAAGAAATATCGATACGCAATACAGCGACCAACTTAAAAACGACCTAAGTGGACAAATTTATCGGGAAATTTCTCGCCAGTAAAATAACGAAAGGGATGAAAGAGATGCGTCGCCGACATGTTTATAATAACGTTTATTTATTCCAATGTACATACGTGCGGCCTGAAATTGCGAGATTGAAAATGTAACCATCGATTTGCACCGAGTCGTCGCAGCAAACTCGCAAACGCGTTCTACCAGTCATCTGCAGCAGCAGTAAAATGAAAGATAAACAAAATTGTTGAAATACTGCGCGACAGGAAGTGAATAGCCGTTTGGTTAACTCTGCGTCGGTTGACCGCAGGAAATGCCAGGTGATTGGTCCCCGTAGTATGATTTTTGGAAACTAGGTTTACGATCGCGCGGCGAAATATTTGTCATCGAGGCGCGGAAAGGATAGAAATAATTTGAAAATGCGTTATAAACGTTGCAATCTGAATGCATTAAATCGTCATCAGGTTACAAAATATCTTATTTGAGAAACATAATATCACTGACTATACTATTAAAGTACACATTAATCATTTAATTAAAAAAAAAAAAATAATTGATCAACGATCGGAAATTACAAGAGTTATTTCTGATTATTGATTTATCTTAACAATGATTCCCAGTGATTATAATTACACTCGACGATCGATTAAAGAAACTATTACAAAGAAGATCAATCGTTGCCTGACTCTTGATTAAAATAAAACTGTGGCGAACAATTGGATCAATTTGATCTTATAAAAAGAGTAACCTGAATCTAATCCGTAATTAGAAAATCCTAGATCTGTTCGTGAATTTTCGTTCAAGAAGAAATGCTTCGCCTCATTTCTCATTGACCTTACGAGATCTATTTTGACAACGTGGTGAAATTACAGATGAAGAGCAGTGGAACAGAATCTTAATCTCTTCCTTCTTTTTGGAGAAATATTTCTCTGGTGTATTCTCTCTCTCTCTCTTTCTCTGCGTGTCCGTCGTTCCAGGCGAATGGAACGGAAACATCGAAATGATTTGGAATCGGGGAATACGCAGTCGTGATTCAAGGGGAATCAGCAGCGGAAATCAGTGAATCGGTCTGATTATTGTCTACTACGACTGAGAATGCCAGCGTGCTCCCGTTGGAAATCCGTCACATTACGCGCCATTATGTCGTTGACGATGTACTTACGCCGCTGATTAGGAATACGCGGAGACGAAATTACAGGATTGTCACGTGTGATGCACGTACGCCATATTTCAACTATTGTTCACGGATTTTTCCTCATACCTAACGAGCGCAAACTATTTTTCAATTCAGCTCATTTACAATTCAAGGTATCCTT